CCCAGCCAGAACGTTGATGTCGATTAGATGTCTAATAGATGTCGGAGATGTCTAATAGATGTCTAACAGACGTCTGTTGGACGTCGAATCGACATGATGTTCTGCCTGGGAAGACCAAATAACACGCACTAATGCACAAAAAATGTGTACCCAGTTCACAACTTCCTCACGAACCCCCGTTGTTTTATTCTTACAACTTTTAACAATACATCGCACCATTTTTATTTTAAATTTATATATTGTCTGTGTACCACTGTTTATCACTGTTTACCACAAAACAATGTACCGTACTTAAACACGAGTAGCATAAGCGGCATGAGTGTGACAAGGATGCATGAACATGTGCCAATATTACAACACCAAAATGTTTTACTTTTAGACGTTGGCTACTCTGTTTACACAATTCGACACGAGTGACGTCATTCCCGAATTCCCCCAGGCAATTGAGCACACCATGTAATCCTTACACTATGGACGTGACTCGCAGGTCATGTTCGCGCTTAAGTATAATTGAGTGCGGACTCACGCTACGTTGAATCGCTGCATGTTGTTGTCCGCTGTCCTGGCTGCTTGGCTGCTCGTCGTGCGGTAGGTCAGTGCCGTCTCGGGTTGAGCTGATCTCCGCGCGGTGAGTCGGTGCCGTCTCCGGTTGCGCTGCTAGCGTCTGCTGGCGGGGCAGGTCGGGCAGTTGTCGTGAAGATCGTTGTGCCGTCTCTCGTCCTCCGCTGCTACCGGGTGTCTTTGTCCACTTATCTCAATGTTGCTTCGGGGTTCTCCTTGGTTCCTTGCAATCACTGAGTAATGGTTCCTTCGATTCTCTCGGTTTCAGGCCTTGGTCCGTCACTCGCACGCGAGTGAAATCGATGGCATCCCACCGCTGCCACCAAATTGTTGTGCCGCCGGCTTGGTCGGGGCACGGAGTCTCGGGGATCGTTGCCGTTGATACACTTCGCGGTTCATGAAAGGCCATAAGCCATTATTTTAAACTATATTCTTTATTAAAAAACTTTGATACAGATACGTACACTCGTGTGTCTTACTTAGTAATGGCCCGCCTTCCTTCCTTTCCATTCCATTTTATACCAACCGCGCTTGGCCCTGTTGTTAGGCCGTTTATTGGTTAGTAAGCGGTTTTTCCCTTAGCAACTGTATGCGCGGCTTCGATGGTTTCGTACTTTGTTCCGGGTATTCGTTTTCGTCGCATGCGGCAGGGGTTATCTGACACCTTGCCGCGTGCGAGGTCGTCGTCTGATGTGCGGTGCATCGCACTCATGACACGTGCCTTCTCCGGAGGAAGAGCAATGCGAGCGGCACTTTCGCAGCTCACACTCTCGATCGTCAGATGGACGGTACATTGTTCGTCTGCCATTCCGTGCGGGTCATCCGATTGACGTTGGGCAATCTAGGCGATCCGCGGAGCGCCTACTTAACTCTCTTTTACGTCGTTTCGCGTCGCAGCCGGATTTGAAACGCGAATACACAGCATTCATGCGCGAGTACGAAGACCTCGGGCATATGCGCCAAGTTCCGGAGCAGCACGCGGCGTCGAATCAAATTTTCTATATCCCTCATCATTCGGTATTTCGAAGTGATAGTGCGACTTCTCGTTTGCGCGTCGTTTGTAACACGTCTTGCATCACGAGTAACGGGTCCTCCTTGAACGATCACCTGCTCGCGGGCCCGAAGTTGCAGACGGACTTGCCCGCCATTCTGCTGCAGTGGCGATTGTTCCAATTCATGTATTCTGCGGACATCGCTAAGATGTACCGCCAGATTTTAATCGACGAGCGTGATAGGGACTTTCAACGAATTTTGTGGCAGCCGGACTTGTCCGCTGCTCCTCTTGACTATCAGCTTATGACGGTTACATACGGGATGAAGTGTGCTCCGTATCTCGCGCTTCGCACGCTGAAGTGCCTCGCCGAAGACGACGGGTATCGCTTTCCACTTGCCGTGCCCATTCTGCAGGATCAAATCTATGTCGACGATATTCTCTTCGGCGACCACCAGCTCGATTCGTTGCGTGAGCGACGGCGTCAGCTCGTCGCGTTGCTGCATTGTGGTCGGTTCGAGCTGCGGAAGTGGGCTAGTAACTCTCCGGAGCTTCTCGAAGATATCGACCCTGCCAATCACCGGTTGGCTTGTGATTTGCCTCTCGCACTTGACGATAAGGTCAAGGTGCTCGGCATCGCGTGGAATCCATCACGCGATGCTTTTCACTTTAAGGTTGTTCTTGATAGCGCTGAGCCGACCAGCAAGCGCACGATTCTGTCCACTATCGCTAAATTGTACGATCCGCTGGGTTGGGTCACACCCGTCACCGCTGCCGCGAAGATTTTTATGCAGAACCTGTGGCGTTCGCAACTCGATTGGGAACAATCGCTTTCTGAGCCATTACTTTCCCAATGGCATCGCATTTACATAAATCTTCCTCACCTAAACGAGGTCGCTCTTCCTCGTTGGACTGGCAGTCTACCAGACTCCATCTCTGAGTTGCACGGTTTCGCCGATGTCTCCATGCTGGCGTACGCCGCGTCCGTATATTTGAAGACTGTGTCTCCTTCCGGTGAAATCACCGTCTCGCTGATAGCCGGCAAGTCTAAAGTCGCGCCTATCGCCTCTCTCACAATTCCGCGTCTCGAGCTTTCTGCTGCGCTCCTTCTGAGCCGCCTAATGAAGTTCGTGAGAGGCGTCTTGAAGCTGCAGTCCGCTCCATGCTTCTGCTGGACGGATTCAACCGTTACCCTTTCATGGCTGCGGTCGCACCCATCTCGGTGGAAGACATTCGTGTCCAACCGCGTCGCGCAGACTCAATCGAATTTGCCGGACGCCACTTGGCGTTACGTGCCCACGTCGCACAATCCTTCCGACTGTGCTTCTCGTGGACTACTGGGCCTCGAGCTGTTGACTCACGATTTGTGGTGGCATGGACCCCACTGGTTGCAATCGTCTTCTAACGATTGGCCTAAGGATCCGACTCCTCTTCAAGCTGACGATGCTCTGGAGGAAAAGGCACTCCGTGCTCATCATGTAGCAGCAGCTCCCATCAAATGGGACATCGCTGTTCGATATTCCTCCTGGGCACGTTTGATTCGCGTCACCGCTTACGTTCTTCGGTTCGTTTCCGCTTGCCGTCGAGCCAACCTCGATCGTCATGATCCTGTCATTGACTCGAGAGCGCTCACGTCCACTGAGTACACCCGAGCGAAGATCTTCTGGATCAGACGCATTCAAGAAGAGCTTTTCGCTGATGATCTGCAATCTCTTTCAAAGGGTCGATCGCTACCGTCAAAGAGTTCAATTGTCGTGCTCAATCCTTTCCTTGACCGCGACCAGGTAATGCGTGTGGGGGGTCGGCTGAGAAATGCACCGTTGCCATACGACATGAAACATCCGATCCTCCTCGCCCCACATCCTCTCGTACGTCTCATAGTTGCTCAGGTTCATTTGCGCTTCCTTCACTCTGGTCTCCAACTCACGTTGAGTTCCCTTCGCAGGGAGTATTGGATACTGCGCTCTCGCAACCTTGCAAAGTCCATTCTTCGCGAATGCGTCGTTTGCGCTCGTGAGCGAGCCTCTATTCCGACTCAGCTCATGGGTGATCTCCCATCCAGTCACGTGTCGCCTTCGTCTCGCTGCTTTGCCCATAGCGGCATCGATTATGCTGGGCCTCTAAAGGTTCGCGCCTCCGCAGGACGAGGCATAGCATCTCGAAAGGCTTACATCGCGCTCTTTGTTTGCCTAGCTACCCGCGCCATTCATTTAGAACTGGTAGGCGATTATTCCACTCCTGCGTTCATAAGTGCTTTTGCTCGATTTTGCTCGCGCCGGGGCCTTCCCCAATCCATGTACTCGGATAACGACACAACCTTCGTTGGAGCCGATAAGGAGTTAGCGACGGCCTATCGAGGTGCGTTGCGCGATCCGAATTTTCTGAATAGCACCGCGAGCGACGGTATCACATGGAACTTTATTCCGCCGTCCGCTCCTCACTTCGGTGGGCTCTGGGAGGCTGGAGTCCGCAGCGTGAAGCATCACCTGCGTCGCGTGTTAGGAAGTCACACGTTGTCATTCGAGGAGTGTTCGACCCTCTTGTGTCAAATCGAGGCGTGTCTTAACTCACGCCCGATTGCTCCTATCTCTGACGATCCTGATGATACTCAATACCTGTCTCCAGGACATTTTTTGGTCGGTTCTACCATCACTGTTCCTCCAGAGCCGTCAGTGCTCAATCTCGCCGAAAATCGGCTATCACGCTGGCAAATCGTTCGCCATATAACCGAACGATTTTGGAAACTTTGGACGACGGATTATGTGAATACGCTGCAACAGCGTAACAAGTGGCTCAAACTTCAACCTCCGGTGACAATTGGACAACTCGCCTTATTACGCAACCCGTTGTTACCTCCCTGCAAGTGGGAGCTTGGTCGAGTCGTTCGACTCCATTCCGGCTCTGACGGTCTAACTCGAGTAGTCACCATTAAAACCGCCGCCTCGGAGTACGTGCGCCCGATCTGCAAATTATGTATCCTCCCGGTCAAGGATACAGATCATAATGCCGCGTGAACATACAGGGCCCACCGACCGTGGTTATGCCTCGGAATTAGATCAAGTCTTTATAAGCTCAGTGTCCATAAAGGACGGTCTATAATGAGTCGTCCGTCGTAACCGCGGGTCGTTGAATCATAAGTCAGAAGTCATATGTCATAAGGAGTTATGGTCTGCATCTACAATGAACCATAACCGTCGTAGTGTCGTATTTTTTCAACCAATGAGAGAACGGGAGCGGTTTCGAAAACTTTAGTTGATAAAGAA